ACTCATTTGCCTAATAATTCTGCACTCCCTGTATAGCTACGGGACCAATTGTTCATATCAACAATATTTCTTTGGAAATGGCCGCGAGCGTTTCTAAGAATTGGCTGCTGAGGGGGAAACAGATGAATAGGCAGATATTTGTTACTTTTAAACTTGCCCCTCATTTCAGTGTCTGTGTTTGTCTGACTTTGTCTCTCTGTATGAATCCTGACTGCTGACTGATTGAATAATGGCGAGTTTGTCATGTCTGGTGGTCTGTTTCAGACACATACACTATACACTCCCACAGAACTGTCATACATCACAGCTTAAAGGCTTATAGAGTAGCTACTCTAGTATCTTGTCAGCTTTCTGAGTCATGACATGGTTTTCAATTTTCCCTTTTTCACCTGACTGCACTTTACAGCTCTGCTCCTCCATCCTGTCTCTCGCGCTCTCTCTCTCGTGTCATGTCCTGTTCTTTTTGTCTGCGTCTTTCTAGAGAAAATGAAATTAGGTGGACTTGCTCGAGTCCATGAATGTTGAGAATTATATCACAGTCCAAGTATTCACTCAGAAAAGTTACAGGGAGAGCGGGAACACTTTGTGAGCGTTCATCTGTTTACAGACTCCAGCGTGGGACAGTTGTTGTAGTCCTCGTCAAACATTTAGAGGCTAATCTTTTATATTACGATCCAGTTGCTGCCTGTCTTTCCAAGATGCACAGCTGCACTTGTGATTTAAGAAATTTGAACTGGTGCAGAATATTTAACAGAATCTCTACAGTGATCGTATCTCATTGTGTGTGTGTTTTCCAACAGGGCCGTCATGTCAAGACAGGTCAGCTGGCAGCTATCAAAGTCATGGAGGTCACAGAGGTAAGGGTTCATTACCTCACTATTCTCAGAGTGTACCTGTGTCATCATGTGTCGTGTTTGAGACAACGCTGTCTCCTGCTCAAAAATAATCCTTATTTATCTCTATTTTATTTCGACATCCTTTTTATGCTCCACCTGTTCTTTACCTGGAATGTCAACTTCTCAAATGCATCCTTTCATGTTCAAACAGCCTGAGCAACACCATAAACACCAAACACTATTTGTGCCATCGCATGAACTACCTGACGACAGTTTGATGGAGAAATGAGGGTAACTCTGCTAATGAGCCATTGAGAGCAGGCTGAAGCCTGACTGTTAGCTTGTACAAACATACTTACAGGAGTCTGCAGATGGATGGCAGACTGCGTTACACAGTATATAACTGACAGAACATCATAAGATGCGTAACGACCAAAGTGGAACGTTAGTGTAATTAAATTCAACACCACCGTGATAATCATCCTGTTAACATAAATCATACATGACAGCCTTTAATACATGACTCCTGTTTGAGGGTTTTGCATCGAGATGACCTGTTTTTCTTCAGCTCCTGGATTAAATTTACACATACTGTAGTGCAAGAGTTTCTTGCAACTTATTACACATACAGTTGAGTTTTCTCGGTACTAGGAATCGCTGAATATACAGCTGATAAAATAAGCATTGAACACGTGACCAATATAGTTCCAGATTATCACCAGATGTTGGCAACAACCCATCCAATCCATGTGTTCGATATTTACTTTAACCGCTATGGTTGTGCCCTCTAAAGAAAAACAATCCCTTGTACTATTATAGCATGATGTCCGGTAGACATGTAATATGCAGGATTGAAAGAAAAGACGAGACAGTTTGTGGTGGTGTATTTCTCTCCAGAGACCCTGCTCTCAGCCTACATCCTAGTCCTAAGTACCCATAGCAGTACGCGTTGTGTGAACGTATGGCTCTGTAATAACCTCCACACACTGTTTTTATGGTTTATGATGTCAACCACTGGCTTCTAGATTCCTCGCTTTGGAGTTTGCTCTTTAACTTCGTGGCCATCTTGATCTTAAGGTGTCAGGTAACAATAGGAGTGTAGGTTAGCCAGCTGCATTTCTAAACTGTGTGGGTATAACACACACAGTTCCCTACTTGGGGAGGCAAAGTACCAGACTAATGATCAGAATTTCACTAACCAGAGCTGTGAAAATGCTTCAAAAGGGCACCAATATAACAAATACAGTCAAGAGGTGAAGCCTAGCGAGCAGCTAGAGCTTTTTTTGTAAACAGCTTATGTTTGCTGTTAGAATGAGTGAGTTCCAATCTTAGCATTTAGCAAGGTACTGCTCCACAGACAGGCTTGCATGGCTTTGGATTTATGTCGGTGTGAAGTAAAATAAAATGTTAAAAGATCACTAAATCCAACACGCTCAGTCTTCTGTCTTGATAAAATCTTATCAAGAGGGAATATCTTTGGGTTTTGGTTTCTTGTTCAGTAATGCAGCCAAACTGGAGAGTTTAGCACAGACTTTGTCATTTTTCTCTGTTTCTTACATTTTATGTAGCAGATAATTACGTGATTAATGGAGAGAATAATCAGACAACTAGATGACGTGTTAAGAACTCGTTAGAGCCTCCCCCAGAAAAAGAAGTCAAATACAAATTATAGAGTGCCTGAATAAATTATATTACAGATTGTTCTGACATCTAAACGTCGTAGTTTCTTTGTGTGGATGTGACAGCAGGAAATGCTTGGCTATTATCTGCCTTCTTGCAGACACACGCACACGCACACGCACACACACACACACAACCTCGTCGTAGGCAGAAGCCTGTGTGTTTCAAACGGAAGTGAAAGTTCAAACTGTGCCTTGTCATTTTTCTCCCCTCCTGTGAAGATTTAAGGGAGGGCAGCGACTGTGAGAAGCTCTCTGTTGTTTCCACTTTCCTGATTAACAACCACAGCCAGCTTCTCCAGCTCTCCTCTTTTCTTCTGCTCTCGTTTCCAGATCCCGAGTAGATTTAGGAGTCCAGTGAATTGGAGAAGTCACAAGTCATTTCCAGGATTTATACTGGGAAAACAAAAAGTGCCGCACACAGTTTCCTCTGCTTTCTTTTTGTCCTCTGTCACGTAAAGTCGACCAACCCCAGTGGTTTTGTTGTGGGATGGGAGTAGTTGAGTTAAGGTCCAGTAGCTGGGTGAGAGATCATCTAAGGGTTATAAAACAGATTCAAGAGGCTATTTACCTGGATGTGTTTGTGATTTTACATTTGGAGCGACACTTTAAAACTTTAAATAAACAGGTCACATGTCCAAGGCAGAAGGGCCACTTTTATAAAAGCCTTGAAACCTTTTTGAACCCAACACAGAAGCATCACAGCGCCGTAACACCTGCTCTTCAGACAAACACCAGGCAGCGCCATTTTCAATCACCTGTGAACGGTCACATGACCATGACTAATAATGAAATTCCAGTTAACACATGGCAGTAATGTTTTTGTCACTTGTTTGATTCCTTATGTTTTTGTTCTTGTGTTTAGGAGGAAGAAGAGGAGATAAAGCTGGAGATCAACATGTTAAAAAGTTATTCCCACCATAGAAACATTGCTACTTATTACGGTGCCTTCATTAAGAAAGGCCCTGCTGGACAGGACCACCAACTCTGGGTTTGTAAACTCGTCACATTTGTTTGTTCTTCAGCACAAACTGTGGATTATCTTAGTTTTTATTAAACAACTGCTGTTCTTTTGGGTTACCTGTGTCAAACACCACATGTTTCTACTATTTATTTCCCATATAGTTAGTGATGGAGTACTGTGGCGCTGGCTCTGTGACAGACTTGGTGAAGAAAACCAAAGGAAACTGTTTGAAAGAAGACTGGATTGCTTACATCTGCCGGGAGGTGCTCAGGGTAAGATCAAGCACACAGCGTAAAAGCTTTTTTTTTACCTTTATAAGTGACCATTTTAAATAAGTATAGAAGATGTGAGCTTTCTGGGTAATGCAACGATGCTGTTTGTGTCAAACCCTCCATCGTCAGCTAACTCTGTGTGATCTAATAACACAAACAAACACTCAGCAGGGACCTCTCTCTGCCTGCGGTGCTGTTTTAGTGTTGGTTAAAAAAACCCAGGTAGTAACTTGTTTGTGGATGTAAGCGTGGTTCAGTGTCTGGTGTTGTAAAGAAACACGATGGCTGCTTTTAGTGATTCTTTGCCAAAACATCAAAGAGCAGCCAAACTGACACTGATACTTCCTCATGTTCAGGGATTTATTCTCTCGTATGTTTCCCACTGTGACTCGGGGGGGATTTCTTCTTTTAGTTATATACTTAAAAGGCCAGTTTAAAGCACATCTCTGTAAAATGTTATGGTTATCATTATGAGAGATCACGAGGTCCTGAGAAAGGCTCCGGGATGTTTGCTTCGCTTTCTGTGCTGGTGTTTGTGGCTCAGAGACATACACAGTAACATATCAGCTTATATCAGCCCCCGGTGTCCTTGATGTTGCCGTTATCTGCAACAAAAATGGAACGGAGCTCATTTTTTTTATTTTTTTGTTTTTGTAGTTGTAAAAAAACTTGAGAGACAAAGGGCTCTGGACTGTCGCCAGAGTTTTCTCCACTGCTGTCAGCCATGCTGTCTCCCCATTGTTTTAACATCACAACACACGCACGCACAAATACACACAGAAACCATGGTGAAGTCATTGTCTGAAATAAGACCTACTTCCTCTGTTTATTTAACCCACTTTGAAGAAGCGAGAATGCAAATACACACACTAAAACTGTGCTTGAGTTACTCGGCCACTCAGTAACTGCCTAAAGTAAGGATGTCTACTGATGGACTTGAAGCTAAAAGCTAAATCCTGCTCTCCGTTCAGTAATCCTTCAGACACGTGATCTAAATGCTCTCCGAGGGCAGCGTTTGCCCCTTCGTATTTATAGCGGCGGTCATCTGACCGTGTGTGCACGGGAGTGTTTATATGTATTCATATTTGTCTTCCAGGGCCTTTCCCATCTTCACTCCCACCATGTGATTCACCGAGACATTAAGGGACAAAATGTTTTGCTCACAGAGAACGCCGAAGTCAAACTGGGTATGACACACTGACACATGCGCTGTGGTTCCTCAAGCAGACGTAACCCCTGGGAGAACAACAGAACAATCACACAGTCATATTCAAACACATAAATCTCACGACCACAAAGACGCTTCTGAAAGTAGCAACAGTTGTGGCTGTTTTTCACACATGAAACCTTTATTTTTTTTAATTTTATTTTTTTTGCAGTTGACTTTGGCGTGTCAGCCCAGCTCGATAAGACGATCGGTCGGAGGAACACCTTCATCGGTACTCCTTATTGGATGGCCCCGGAGGTCATTGCCTGTGATGAGAACCCTGAGGCTACATATGACTACAGGGTACCTAATTTCAAAAACACAGCCTTGTTTCATTTTTGTTTTTTAAGTGAGAATTAAGGCAGTTCCCAGCTGCTTAAGGTGGTTTATTTGTTATCTAACATGGTGCAGACTATGCTGTGGATAAAGTGGAAGTGGCTATATTTTAATATTGAAGTTATTCAACCACACATACATGGAAATGACTGATAAAGATGAACTACTTTACACTTTTACAGTTTCAGTCATCTCACAGCTCATGAAATCCAGATGCAGGGAAAGCAGCATTTGTGTAACTGTGGTTGTTTTGTACTGTAATGCTGAGGCATTATGCTGAGTGTGGGTCACCAACCACAAGTCATATCTGTTGTGCCACACGCATGTGAGACACACAACCAAGATTCAAACATCTGCTCTTATTATTGCTTTTGCTTCGAGCTCAGTTTAGTTTCACTTGGTTTCCAGAACTCATTGCAGTGTTTCACTCTAGTTTTTATTAGTTTCAGTCTTAGTTACTAAAATGTTTTTGGATTTATCCATTTATGATTGAGGAAGTTCAAAATAGGTAATACAAAATAAACACAAAGCTTCCTGTTATGTAGACACTGCAGCCATGAAAACCCTCCTGAGTTGACAAATTTGACCAGCGTGACGAAGAGCAAGTCTGCAGACGTTTCCTGTGTGTTGTCTGTTTTAGTTATTTTTGAAAGTGCGCAATATTATTTTTTCTTCTTGTTTAGAAGTTTTAGATGTGAGTTTATGTTTCATCAACTCTATTACCTTTTACGTGAGGGTGTCAGTAAAGCACTTTAAGCTGTTTGTTGCTGTGTAAGGCAAAACTCACTTGGAGGTCACAGGTTTGCTTTGGTCCTGTTAGCTGAAACAACGTTGTGTTGACAGCCAGGATCAGTTTCTTCTTCAACATCGTTGAGGGGATAAAAAGTCCAGTCGTCGCCTTCAGTTTGACTGGCTGCTGAGGAACACGTGGTTCTGGATGTTATTGCTACTTCGCTGCCTTCCTCATGTTTTCCAGCTGACACTGTTGAACCATGTTAGTCTGCCATGGCTGTGTTTGGTCCTGACAGCCTGACACTTTTAATTATTGTTCTGAAACACAGAAAAAATCATTCTTAGTCAGACTTTATCTTGTGTTTTCATCTGTAATGTCTGTCACTAACCAACACGTGTCGATTCGCAATATTGAGCCAGTTCAACACATATCACCACACGCAAGAAGTTCATTG